CTACTTTATTATTATAACACCTTTCAAGTCCTTCCCTACATTCAGGTACTATTCGTAGCATAGATAATTGACGTCATTGTATACTTATAGGCGGTGTGGCTTGGCAATATAAAAGCGGTAAGGCACGAACACCTGGAGGCTTATCTCATCTCGGCTGAGTTCGGTATCTCCGCTTTCTCAAATCGAATATCGAATGGACCGTGATAGTCTGTGATACCTCGAAACTGAAAGTTCTCTGATGAGCAGGCTTATCCACTAACTCAGCTCCCCTTAAGGGGCCACATTCTTGATGGATCCTCCACATAGCTTTGAGGATCTCAACATTCCTACCCATGCAAGACCTATCACCGCCCTACGCTGCTGCTGTGGCCGCAATGATTGCGCTTTACTCGAGCATAACAATGTAGCTCTCGAGGGTCTAGAGAAAGATTTGGAGACTGCTGCTAGGCTAGGTCAGGTACGTATCTTTTGTCAATATTTGCTGCCCAAATGATGCTCGCTGCTGGTTGGGTATGACAAACTGCCAAGCTGTTCCCAGGCTGGCTGAGCCATGCAGTTTGATATATCAGTTTCATCATTCCTCACGGAGCACCTTATACCCACTTGCTTTTTTCCCCTTCTTCACCCTTTCATTTATACCACTCGGACTACGGAGACCACATCTGCATACCTTGTGCAGATCCTATCATTTTCCATTCTAATGGCTTCCCTCCGACCACGATCTCCCATTCTCTCACACTGTGTTGGCGTTCGTCATGGCTACCTTTCATGATTATACTGCCAAGGCAGCATGCTTCGAGGCATCATCACTGACTTTTGCTCTACAGGCCTTACTCCACCGCCATGAAAGCTATATGGCTGAAGCGGAAGAGGACCGCCATCGTTTGGTTGGTAGCATTGACAATCTAGAACGCGAAAAGCAAGAAGTTCAAGCAGAAAATGCGCGCATCGTTGAGGAGAATCGCAGTTTGTTAGAGCAACTTGATAGTTTGAATCAAGCGGTCGCTGAGTCTGACGACCATATCAAGTCTCTGACGAGGACTTTGGAGAACACAGAGTCTGAGTTGCGAAGATTGACTGTGGCTGCAACACGCGCCGCAGAGCTCGAGGCGCAGCTAGCTCTTATGGAGACAGAGCAGTCTAGGCTCCAAGAGAGCCTTGTGGCAGTGCATGAAGACGAGAAATCGGCCGTCCAACGGTGGAAACAAGCAGAGAACACACTACGAGACCTTCATGATCAAGTCGACCGCATCGAGAAGGAGGCACGCGAGGAAAGGGATCGACATACGGAGCTTGTCCAACGAATGGAGCGCAAGAGAGCTGTGGAGCGCGAGCTAGATAATGCAGCGGGGCGTCTCAAGGGTGCCGCTGCCGCCTCCGAACTCAGTCGTAACGCCGGTGGTACCAATGTGGTCTCTCGCTTTGTCAAGGACATATTGCAAGACAACGCCAATCTACAAGTTGGGATCATGGAGCTACGCGACATGCTTCACAGCTCGAATGAAGAAGTGCAGAATTTACGGGAACAGGTTATCTCTCACCAGCCGCTGGCCGGCGTCGATGGGGACAATGCACATCCAAGGCCTTCCACCACGCTGAGCGAGGAGCTACAATTGAAGGAAGAACGACGCGTGTCTCAGGAACTCCACATCCATCATCATTACCACACTCCAAATCTGACTCTGGCTACGAAGAAGGAGAAAGGCACGCTTAACCGTCGCGTGAAGAAACGCCGCCCCGCTCTGGTTAGCCCGGTAGTAATGCACTCTGCGACGCGAGCACATTCCCCCCGAAGAGCCCTTCATCGCTCCCAGTCGTCTGGATCCTCCATGTCAACCATCCTGTCGCAAACCTCTGTCTCCATCCCACCTCATTCATCCTCCCGCCGCTGGTCCTCACAATCGCATGCTCCGGACTCGCTGGCAAGCTCTCCTAGGTCCGCCTTCCGCACATCATCGATATTTGATCGTGTTGAACGTGGCCCAGATTTTTCTGAGCCTACCAGCCCTGAAAGCACTGTGTTCTCTTCTCCTTTGATGCAGGCACGGAACCTAAAGGGTCTCGATATGCCGTTCCGGTCAATCGGTGGTTTTGACAGCCACGATGCACCCGACGGCCTATCCGCATTTGAAGATGATTTCTACAGCCGCCAAGACTTCTCAAATACCGGTGATAATGTCACAAGAGAGCCTATCCCAGAAGAATCCGAACCATCTCCATCGGTGGCATACTTCCCGCCTATGAGCGAGTCATTGACGACCGCCCATGATGACATTTTTACCATGCATGTGCAGTCTTCATCCTTGCGCAGATCGTCTTCCCATGACAGCTTGCTCTCCGTCTCCGTTGCTGAGATGGATATTCATACACCCACCAGTCGCCATAAGCGAATGGGCGACTGGCATCCTGGCATGCGGATTCCTCGACGTATCTTGTCACCCAGTGTCGAATTAGTGTCAACACCCCCAGTGATCTCAGCCCCAGCCATCACAGCCGATCGTGCAAAGAGCTCAGAGCACACATCCCAGTCATTGCTTGCTTCCATGGCTGCGGTAAATAATACCAAGCCCGACACATCATCCGTTGTATCCACCGACAGTGCCAGTACCGATTCAACCGCAACTCTTGGCCCTCGCAAAACTACGACACTGGGTCGCCGCATGGGAGGCTGGGTGCTAGGGCGCTGGGGCGTGGCAGCGGTCTCGACCGATGGTGACTCGCAAGATCCAGCAGACTCGCCAAACACATCGGTGGCATCGTCACCTTCTATACCTGCTCCCAGCCCTGACCCGCTAGCTCTCCGCTTCAGATACCCAGGTGTAAACCAGAAGGGTCCGATAATGGGCCTGCGGCCTCCGCCTCCTGCTCCCATCTCAATTCATGCACAAAGCATAGACGAAGACTTGCTGCGAGAGAGTCTAGCCGAAGAGTGTGGCTAGATTCCCTGCGGTTTAAATACCTGCACATTCATTGTTCTTTAGCGTTTACACTCGTTTTAATCTTGCATTTTATTATTTCTTTCTTGGTTTTTACTTTTGCTTCCGGCTCTGACTGTTCGGTTGTTGCATTTCTTGGATTCCTGGTTTGGAATGGCGCGAGTTGCGATGATACCCATGCTTTCATCTTTGATTTCCTAGACTTGTCGAGATGATGCACTTTTTGTTCCTTTTCACGTTGTATGTTTTACGCGACGGGATTACTTCATTGAGTACCTCAATACCATTGGAGTTTTGCCCGTCAACATGATCGGGTTGAACAATTTTGTATAGTGTTCGCTCGGAGCTAGTTATATACTGTAGCGACAAGTTTCATGCACTAACTTTTGCATTATTTGCATGATATCACATTTTCTACTTATACTCATTACCTCGTGATGTAAACGCATTGTGTCTGCTTATTTCACCCGCGAAATCCGGTACGTCCGGATCGGGATGCTGGTCGAATGGAAGAAACCCGTCTGGTCTTCTGATGGTGTTGATTCGAACGGGAGGGTTTCAACGGCGAATGAGTTGGCTTCTGTGGATGTTTAGCGCTGCATAAATGACCAACATTGCGGATAGCCTTCAAGACTCACCACAAGCATTCAAGAACGTGCGGAAAGTCTCCTCATTGCGTAGGGTTGCAGCAATGATAAACTCTTGGATGTGATAGTTCTCGAAAAGATCCCGCACAGTAGACAGGAGTAAGGGAACAAGGTCGGTATCGTAGATCTAGACATGTAAGCATGAAATCTAAGTAACTATCTCATGAAGACACCCACCAAATCAGCCCCGAGAGCAACATCAAACCTTAACCCAGTCCCCTCCTCGCCCTCATCAGAGCCCAATCCAGCAAGATTTCCCTCCTTCGTTAACGGAGTTCCCCACTCCCAAACAGCAGGATAAATAGGAATGGACTCCCGCCCATTCAAATTATGCTTGACACAATCACGAATATTATCAATAAGTGCCGGCTCACGATCAGTAACAACAACAGAGCGCACACCAAGATGACATGCACAAACAAGTGACAAGAATCCCGTGCCAGCACCCAATTCGATAACTCGTTTACCGCGCACAAGAGCCTCGCCTGCCTCAGACGTCAAGAACGAACCGAGGTGCAGAGCAGCCTCCCATGTCCGATTCCCGGTAGTCCCAGCAGACAGAATCAGGCCACGGGATTCGGAGGTGATAACAGTGCACTCTGGGCAGGTTCCCGCGCTAGATGTTGGCGCTGTGTACTTGACTAGGGACAGCTGCTGCGCTTGCTGCAGGGCTGAGGGTTTCGGCTGTGAGACTAGTGTGCTCCAGCTTTCCATGAGATCGTCATTGATCTCCTGTTATCACAGGGGGAGGGAAGAGGTTAGATAAGTTGAATCAGGAATATAAAAGATGGGTTTTTGCATTGGTGAAAGGTGGATGTATATGGGATTGAAAAGGAAAAGATAGGAAATTCAAAACGTAGAAATGCAAAATAAAAGGATTTAAACAGGTGGGTTGGCCTACATCCTCCTCAGGGTTGGTAATTGATTCCTCAATGCGCGAGAGAATCTCTTTCAGCACTCGGCTTCGGTAGCTGTCTGGTGGGATAGGAAAGACTGCATTTTCGTTGAACATGCGCTCGTACAAGGCTGCTTGTACGGCAGGCTGGACCAGCACAGGACCTGGTGGGAGGGCCAAGTTCTGGAGCTCAACCAGCTGGAAATACTGCGCCGCTAATTTATGAATAGAGTCGGTCATGGTTGCTGGATGAACATAGTAATGAATTTGATATTGGAGATCAATGCGATAGATATCATTGGAGCCCCAGCGAAAAAAAGTGGATGAGTCAGAAATGAGATAAGCAAGGGCTGATCAACACTTTCTGCCTCAGGCAGTAAATCCATTAGTCATTATAGCCTGAGGCAGACAGCCCAAAGGGGCTAGCGTCTACCCTAGCCGAGCCCACACCACACGAAAATTGAAAGTTCGACATCCTCAGTGACCCCGTCGACACTTCCTCCATCCAACGCACACACCAAAATGGCCGACACTCCCGTCACTCTGCGGACTCGCAAGTTCATCCGCAACCCCCTGCTTGCCCGCAAGCAGATGGTCGTGTAAGAACCCCCCTGATTTTCCCCCTCGTTTTGGATCTGTGTGTGGGAAATGCATCGCAGGCGCGCAACATTGAAATTCGACAACCATCCAGCACAAAGGGAAAGAGAAGGAGGAATACAATCGGAACATCGCAACACACACAGAAACAAGCATCGAAACACCAGAAAACCCCGATCTGACATCTTTTCGCGAATATCTAGGGACGTCCTCCACCCCAACCGCCCCAATGTCTCCAAGGACGAGCTCCGTGAGAAGCTGGCCGATCTGTACAAGTCCAACAAGGACCAGGTCTCCGTCTTCGGTTTCCGCACACAGTACGGTGGTGGTAAGAGCACCGGCTTCGCTCTCGTCTACGACTCCTCCGAGGCCCTCAAGAAGTTCGAGCCCCACTACCGTCTCGTTCGCATTGGTGCCGCCAGCAAGATCGAGAAGGCTTCCCGCCAGCAGCGTATGTTTCTTCTCGTCCCAGCGATTATCAATCGCAAGCGTCATGCTCCATGTACTAACCCCTTTCCCTTACAGGCAAGCAACGGAAGAACCGCTCCAAGAAGTTCCGCGGTATCGCCAAGGTCAAGGGCCCCAAGAAGAACAAGGATTAAACGCCTCATCTGTAACTATTCGCACGATTCAACATGGACCGATGATGCGGCATGGCGCGATGGGAAAGATTATGGCGGTGACGGCTTTGGCTCTGGAGTTACCCATCTGGATTCGGCTTGTCTGGACCCAGGTGCGGTCGGTCGTGTGTGGGGGGGGTGGTATATCTTCCTTTTCAGCGAACATCAGACTAAAACCAAAAATGATGCCCGTTGATTGGTGAAGATCGTGGACGGATACTCTTTTTTCTTCCTGTGCTTGTTGGAGCTGATGATTCCCAAGAGAAAAATAAGACCTGGCGATCCCCGAGGAAATTTAAAAACAGGGCGTCAGTGTGGTTCTTTGTGTGTATGTTTTTTTTTGGGGAGGGGGATCATCAGTCTCCGTGAAGACGGCCAGGGTTATGAGAATCCGGGCTTCGGCTGTTTGCCCGGGATGAAATTACATTTTACTTGTTTCTCTTCACCTGGTCTGGCGGTCTTGTAGACTGTACTTGTACGATTGTACGCTTGTACGGCCATGTCTGCATCTGGTGTAGTTGAATATGGGGATTGTAGCCTGAAGGCCCTTTGCGGCGTAGTCTAGGCTCAGTCTATCATGTCCGTCCATGTTATATGCTTCAATTGTGGAGTGCTCTATACCCCAATGTCACCGTACAAACGTCTAACTCGACCATTGATGTAAGAATTAGCCCTCTTGTCTATGAAGGCTAACTATATAGTGGAGCATGTTAACATTTTCGATTTACTAAAACAATGTTCCACCTGTTCTAATTCTATAGAAGACAGGGGATAGCTCTGGGTATCTTCACAACTATTCCAATTATCGCTCCATTCATCTGCCCCATCATACAACATGCACATATGGCGGGAATAAAACCGTGTTCTTGTGAGATGGTGTACACTTCCTTGTCTTAAAATCCTCACCGGCTCGCCAGAGAAGTCAGTCTCGTACTCTGAGAATATGTGGTGTCAGGCATGATGGCTCAGGCTTAGGAGGGGTGGTATCTACAGAGCACTTGCCTATTAGTATATATTCTAGGCGTCTACGCTCCTACAATTTAATTGCGGGCGTTTATAATAACATGTTGGGATTCTATGTGGATCAATTGTGGGATAGGGCATGGGAACCGTCTCCTATTTAAAGAAACCACCGTGATGTGAGCGATTGGTTCTCATTCTTGGGAAACAAAAAAAAAATATCCGAGCATGTAAAGTTCCTTTTGTATTTTCCAGAATTAATCTCGGAAAATATATAAAGCACTAGGTTACATATGCAATTGAAAGTTACTGCCTAAGGCGCTAAAGCCCTAATTCAAACTCATGATATACCTGAATGTTGCAGCTGATCATTGCCCGAGAAATCCACCATTGACTTGTGAGTTTTTATAACTTAGCAAGACTTTTTGATATAGAGTAAGCAAAATACTTGCATACCTATACCGATCTAATCACTGCCAACCCAGCACTGAGCTAAAAGCGAACTCACTCAATCCGACTAGAAAAGAGTAACAAAGTACACGTACAATGCAGGGACCAAATTCCCAAACTGAACCATCACATCTAAAGTGACAAGCCCTCGAACGGAACCCATTCCGGGAGGGGCTGTGTGGGAAATCCCTCGGGATGGCGCTGTACGATGGACATAGATTACACAACGTAGAACAAATTCCCTTTCTCGAATATTATATTGTCAATTAAATTTCATTTTCCATATGGAAATACCACATTGCAATTCCACGTGGAATTGTTCCATCTGGAAATTGATCTTCTGACTAGGTATGCAGATACATCTCTGCTACCGTAGGATTGACGGCAGCAAGGTACCCGTCCATGGCAGGGTTGTATACGGCATGGCGGGTTGGATGTATCACTGCATCTTGGTTCAGGGCGGGAGTCAGGAATCCGGAGATGTACAGATTTGTGTGCTACTTTCTGGGTCATTGGGAAGGATCCCTGGTGTTGGTCGGGGAGTGCAAGGCACATGGTTAGCCTGGGGGCTGTGTATGTGATTATTGGGGATGGGGATACATATGGGGTTGATTATATGTATTGATTTATTTGTAGAATGTGGTTGTTCACTGGGAGGTTGTACTGGGTGTTGGATTGAGATATAGATACTTGAGAGTAGATAGAGTATATATGTGAAAGACATCAGATTTAGAGCCGTACAGGATAAATAGAAATCTCGGCGCTTTGGAGAATAGAGATAGAAGACTAGAATTAACAAGATCCCCGGAGTCAATTAGTCTGTGGCGCTGGAACACAAATATCACAGGCAGACTGGAGAGTTCTTCATGATAACAATAGGAAATAGGATATTTGACCAACTAAATATTAAAGACCCATGGTATGAAGAAAAAAAAGAATATATTTGAAACAGACACAGAACGGATAGAAATCACTGCATAATAAACATTTTGTGAGATTAAGGAGTAATCCTGGACAGGTGTGACAAGATGGGCATGACCCGAATCATAGTCATTGGAAGTTTTTTTTTTTCGCTTTTGGATGAACATAAGCAGACAGAAAGGAAGGAATAAATAAAAACAGTACCGAGCAGCAAAAGACCAAAAACAGAACAGACATGAGAGAAAGACATTACATGGGCAGAACAAAGGCAGATGTAAATAGCCTTGATATGGGTATCTCTTTTGTGTATCTTGTGGGAAAGAAAGAAACCAAGAGACCAACCAGAAAAAAAAAACGAGAAGGGCGAAGACCGAAGAATCAAACGCCAGGAATCCGTGTTCGATACAATGACACACAGATCGAAGTCAACTCAATATGCTCCTTGATGTCCCATGGACGAAATATGAGGACGATGCAAACTATCAACCGAACGCCCATAATCAGACAAGTCAGGCAAAAATCCATACGGCAAACCAACCGCCGAGTCTGCATGTCGAACACGCGTATAGGGTAATCCATTAACAAGTGTCGGTGCCGAGCAGCGCACATCCGTCTCGATAACCCTGGATTTCCTGCGCTCACTGCCGGAATATCCATATACATCAGATGTGCAATCCGAGGCCAGCGTGACTAGACGCTGTCCGGTGCCGTTGTCGCGCGAGAAAGTACGTCCTAGGCGTGCATCAGGAGCGTTGTACTCACCCAGAGTGTTCTCTATAGTGTCTAGAGCTGGGTAAGGCGGGTTTGCAGTGGAGGAGGCCATGGAGGAAGAGGATGATGGGGGAAGAGGGGAAGAATCCTCTGTTGTGGTCATGGGCATGTAGCCAAAGACGAGGTCGGGGGTTCCGTCGTCTGAGTCATTTGACTTGGTACGTGCTGAGGGGCTGATGTTGTAGAGACCGTTGCTTGGGATGGTGGGCATGGCCACTGTGCGGCCGTCTGGGGAGGTTGCGTACCGCGAGTTCCAGTGGCCCTGGCCTTTTGCATCAGTTGTTAGAGTCATGCCTGAGAGGCCATCTGGGAGGGTTGAGAGGTTAATGTTTGGCTGGAGCTGGCCTCGGCAAGTTGGGGGAGTTGGGAGAGTACGATCCACGGCGTCGGTGTACGTTGTCATTGCTCCTGTTGACTGAGGCATTTCGGTGGACATTCCTTGGCCTGGGAAAACGAAGCCATAGGCAGCTTGGTTCATGTTGCCGTTTGGTTCTTCAAAGAACTCGCCGTTGGTGGGTCTGCCGTTAAGATCCCAGGCCCGGTTGCTCCATGCAGTGCCATAGTCAAGCATTGCCCCAGGTGTGCTGGACAGCATGTACCCTGGCGATGTCTGGCCGTGGTAGTTGGCTGAATGGTCGTCATAGGAATGATCCATAGCAACTGGTTGCCGTGAGAAGTTGGAGTGGATATTCAGCTCGTACTCTTCTCGGAATGGAGCCCGAATTTGAGGAGAGCCCATGAGAATTGATCTTCCTTGACTCTTATTTGCATAAAGCCTAGCTGCTTCTCTAGCAGCATCTTCGGGGGCCAAAGAGTTAACCTATGCAATAAGAAACTAGATCAGTGTGACTCTTCTCTGTGGATATAGGATTTGAGCTTACTCGTATGTATTGGCATTCGGTAGCCCCAACACTACGGCAGCTAGAGCAAGCCAGGCCCGTGTTGAGATCACCATTGCACTTGATTTTTCTTTTCCGGCATCGATTGCACTAGAGAAGGTTAGAAACTGCTGTTGATCCAGATGGAGAGTATACTTACTGCAACTAGGGCTCGTTTCCTCTGCTTCCGTGGCTTGTCATCTCGCTCTACAAGATTGCGCTCCTTAGCCACACGCATAGACCGAGCCATAGAAATGTTGGAGCTATGCCGGGTTTCTAGTTCAGAAAAGCCGTATGTGTGATCCATTGTGAAGAAGATAGACAGTTCAAAGTAAAAGAGTAAAGGAAAGTTCACGTATAAGAAGTGGAAAGAAAATGAAGGATGTCTCTGAGGAAATAGGGCTAGATTTAAGCCATGTTTTGGTAACAATCGGTGTGATTGCCTTCTTTTTTATAAGAATTATAGACAGATATTTTTTGCCCCCTGCTTTTATTTTTCTATATTTTATTATTATATTCTATACTGTGTGTTTAGATCTAAGGGAAGAGAGAGAGAAAACGTCAAAAGTACCCTGAACCTGGCTTTCCTTTCTTTTTTTTTCGGCATTTCTTATTTCTTATTATTCTTAGTATTCCTATTTCTATATTATTTTCCAAGGGGAAATTATATGCAAAGTTCCGCTCAGATTCCTCCCAGTTGCCATATATGAAAGACAGAAAATGCGTTTTAAAAAGAGGTTTCACAAGGTAACGTCACACGGACATGACGAGAACAGGAGAAAGATGCTCCGGTAGGTAGTGTTTCAGCTAATTTGAAGGACTTGTTCTTCTTTTTTTTAATGTCTAGAAGAGGAAACAGGTAAAAATCAAGAAACTTGGTGTATCTCAAGATCTTCCAGATAGAAAAACGGGCAACTGCCGAGCTACTGTTTGCAGAAACATGACGATCCGCGGGGGAGTATGTCCGACGTCCGTGAGAAAATGTTTGCTCGATAGTTCTGCAGGTCAAAATAGTCCGAACATTTTCCTCGGTATATCGAGTGTTATCTGGCAAACGCACGGTCTTAAAACAAACGCCTGTCTCAGGATGCTTCAGATGTCTCAATGGAGAAAGAGAAGGGGGGAAAAAAAAAAAAGGGAAAAACCAAATTCGCTGTCAACTTTAGCGCAGTTGACTTCCCCGAGCCAAGCGCGCTGTAGAAGTTCAAGGATACTGATCGGTGACAAGGGTATCGACCCAGCTTTCTCTTTAGCGCTTCCGGTACGCAGGTAGATCGAAATGGAAGGGGGGGCGGAAAAAGCAAATCAATTCCATAAAATGAGAAATGGATATAACACTTAGTGTACTCCATATGGAGTACTGTGTCATAGTCCTCGATCCACGATCGACGCTAAAGGCTTAGAGGGGGAAACTAGGATTAAGATGCATGAACTTCTGGGATACTTACAAGGTTCACACATTTGGAGATGTGGAGAGAAGTTTCAGGTTACAGTATGACATGGGGCAAAGAATTAGATCAAGATTAGTATAATTTCCATATTCATGCACCTTAAGACATCCAGTGTCAGGACACGAAGACAGAGAGAAAGAAAAAGAGAAAAATCAGAGCTGTGGGGAAGGCAATCAAATTCGGGGGTTTCAAAATACAAAAATCTAGAACCCCATGGAGTCTCTAATAAGTATTTAGACAAAGCGCAGTTCAAGGTTTGACGATGCACGACATCCGGGGGGAAGTAGGAATTGAGAAGAATCAGGAGAAACAGCCCTGCTGACTCTGAGTTGACACGCCAGGGACACATGTTGAAATTGAGACTGGCTTTTGTTGCAGACGATACGGTGGAGGCAACCCCTAGCTCTGCTGACCAGAGCTTGTCCAGATCGAGAAGAGAAGGTCAAGAGGCTCATCATCTCTCATTCCACGTGTATGGTTCTTTTACTAAGAAGTGGTTAATGATACCCGTTGGCTGCTGCAGGAGGCCGCCCGTTTCCCCCTTCCCAACGTTTCTGTTGTGGAACAACTCACGGGGGAAAGATAGATGTCCTAACAAAGAGGACCGTGTACTCCATGGCAAGACAGTATCATCTTAGGGGAAGACGAAAAAGGATTCAAGCCAAGAGATGCTTCTTTTGGCTTGGGCTGCTGCTGCATGAGGGATATAAGCACACAAACAGTTCAAACTTAGAATCCCAGGGTCGATCAAGGCCCTTATTAAGATCCGCTGCACGTCGATCTCAAAAGCGTAAGGTTATATGTCCAACGGGGACATTCGGAATATATGCCGCTCGATTGACAAGCATCGTCGTACAAGTCTCCCGGGTCGATCATCCGGCAGAGCCCTAGAGCTGTTGTGCAGGCACGTACCCATCAGTAGATTGGAAAATCTTTTTTTCTTTTTCTTTTTTTAGTTGTTTTTGTGTGTAAAAATAGGGAGAAGGGAAAAAAAAATTATCAAAACAGAGAGGCTCAGGTTCTCTCTGGGGATCCCCGCGGGCGGTCATTGGTCGAAGCTCCGATCTTTCGCATTTCACATTTCTTGGACTTTCTCTCTCTCTCTCTCTCTCTCTCTCTCTCTCTCTCTACTATCTTACACTACACCTCTCTCTCTCTCCCTCTCTTACCAAATTAGTTTGCTCAAAGGTCCAAGCGTTTTGCTTTTGCGCAACCCAATTCCCCGCCATGAGCGCGCTTTTAGAGACCTCCCTGGGCGATATCGTAATTGACCTGTTGGTCGATGATGCACCCAAGGCGTGTGACAAGTGAGTGGCTCCATTCCTTGGCTTTCCCCAGTCTGCTGAAACCTGAAACTAAGCTCATTTGCGCTTTTAGCTTCTTGAAGCTATGCAAGCTCAAGTACTACAATTTCTCGCCCATCCACAGCGTCCAAAAGAATTTTACCTTCCAGACCGGCGACCCGCTTGGTCCTGATGCACCCGAGAGCGATGGAGGATCTTCAGTATGGGGTCTGCTGGACGGGCCATCAAAAAGAACATTTCCACTCGAGGTGTCGCGCAAGTTGAAACACTTGGAACGCGGCACGGTGAGCATGGCAACGGTACCCTCCAAGAACGACCCCGATCAGCGGTTAGCCGCCAGTCAATTTATTATTACACTTGGAGACAATCTGGATTATTTAGATGGCAAGGCTGTGATTTTCGGCAAGGTCGTCGAGGGCTTCGATGTCCTGGAGAAAATCAATGACTCTTTTATTGACGACCGAGGTCGACCACTGAAGGATATTCGTATTCGTCACACCACTGTCCTTGATGATCCCTTCGATGACCCGCCGAACCTGGTTGAACCACCTGAAAGTCCAGTGCCTTCCAAAGCCCAATTGGCTACGGTGAGAATTGCGGACGATGAGGACTTGGATGATGATATGGATGAAGAGGCTATGGAAAAGCTGCGTCGCGAGCGTGAGGCTCGCGCACAAGCGCTGACATTGGAAATGGTGGGAGATCTGCCGTTCGCCGACGTCAAGCCGCCAGAGAATATTCTTTTTGTTTGCAAGCTCAACCCCGTCACACAAGGTTTGTCGCATTCCAACGGAAATGAAATTTTGTGGCTAATCAATCCTAGATGAGGATCTGAATCTTATTTTCAGTCGCTTTGGAACAATCTTGTCTTGCGAGGTCATTCGGGATAAGCGCACCGGGGACAGTCTACAGTATGCCTTTATTGAATTTGAAGAACAGAAGGATTGTGAACAGGCCTATTTCAAGATGCAAGGTGTTTTAATCGATGATCACCGGATACATGTGGATTTCTCACAAAGTGTAAGAACTCATTCTTCTCCCCATTTATTGCTTATACCAATATGCTAATACATCCCAGGTATCCAAGTTATCTGAAAGCTGGCGCAACTCCACTGTCACCAAGCGCCGACAGAGAGGTGGATTTGGTGGTGTTGAAGATCTTGAAGCGAAACGCCAGTACCGAGAGGTGGATGACGCGCCTGTTGATGATGATGCTAGGTATCGGATGATGTTTGACAAGAGCAAGAAAGGGGGCGTTCCAGCTCCGCCCCGTGAGGGTCCACGGGATGCTCCGTCAGATCGTCCTCGCCGTCGAGATCGGGGAAGTCGAAGCCCCCGTCGAGATGGACGATACCGTCGTCGGTCCTATAGTCGGAGTCGGAGTCCACGACGAGATTCACGGAAAGACCGCCGACGATAGTCTTCAAATATCCCCTATTACCCCCTATTCAAAAATAAGAATACAACATAGTGTACTCCGTATTCCGTACTCCATCCAGGAGTTGATATCCACTTAACTTCGCCCCCCGGTAGCAAGGCCAAGGCCCCGCTATGACTAGCGTAATAATTTCCAGTGGGCAGGTCTCAAATGGCGCTCGCTAGTCACTTTCTTGTATGGATAGCTCATTATTATTCGCCTCTGCAGATCCCTAAAAATAAACTGGAGCCCACTAGGTTCCTAAATGGTGAGAGATATATTAAACTGGAGCACTGTTTTACCGTGTGGTACTTTCCCGAGGTTTGACCTTATTCAGCTTTGAGAGCTTCACCCCACGTTTCTATTTTTTTCTTTATTTACCTTCTCCTTTCTCCTACTTTGTTCCCCTCCAATATTATTCTTCTCTTCTCATATTCTCAATATCCCAATCAAAATGGCAAGCGTAATCAAAGATGCTGTCTCCAATGTCCTTGGAAAACTCCAGGGCACCACCCCAGAGGCTCCCCGTGAACCCTCAGTGGAGGAGTTTCAAACACTGCAAAAGAAATACACAGACGCTGGACAAGGACATGTCTTTTCCTTCGTCGATGAATTGACCACCGTCGAGAAGTCACAGCTCTTCCACCAGCTGTCCAACTTTGACCCCACTCGGATCAACGAGCTGGCTGACAAGGCCCTCAACCCTCCTCCGGTCTCAGAGGGAACCGTGACCCTCGAGCCCCTCCCCGAAGTCGCCACAGCCTCCATCCTCGACTCCGACCCCTCAGATATTCAGAAATGGTATGAAGCCGGCCTGAAGGAGGTGGCCGCGAACAAGGTGGCTGTGGTCTTGATGGCTGGTGGACAAGGTACCCGGCTCGGCAGTTCTGCCCCCAAGGGCTGCTTTGACATTGGTCTGCTGAGCGAGAAATCGCTATTCCAGCTGCAGGCTCAGCGTATTGCCAAGCTCCAGTCTCTCATCGGTGGTAAGGACGTCGTCATCCCCTGGTACATCATGACCAGTGGGCCTACACGCAAACCCACGGAGGAGTTCTTTGAGAAGAACAACTACTTCGGTCTCGACAAGGGCAATGTCATGATCTTCGAGCAAGGTATTCTGCCTTGTATCTCCAATGATGGCAAGATTCTGCTCGAGAACAAAGGCAAGGTATGTATATATACGGGTGTAGTTCAAACAGGTATAGGAAAGAAATTTGTTGACCCCCAATATAGGTTGCCGTGGCTCCTGATGGAAACGGCGGCATCTACCAGGGCCTCGTGGTCTCCGGTGTGCGGGAGGACATGCGCCGCCGTGGCATCCAGCACATCCACCTCTACGGAGTGGACAACTGTCTTGTCAAGGTAGCAGACCCTGTATTCATTGGCTTTGCAGCTTCCAAGAATGTCGATATCGCAACCAAGGTGGTGCGCAAGCGCAACGCCACCGAGTCTGTCGGCCTGATCCTGTTGAAGAACGGCAAGCCCGACGTGGTTGAGTACTCTGAGATTGACAAGGAGACTGCCGAGGCCAAGGACCCCAAGCAGCCCGATGTCCTCAAATACCGTGCTGCCAACATTGTCAACCACTATTACTCCTTCCGATTCCTTGAGTCGATCGAGAACTGGGTTCACCAGCTGCCCCACCACGTGGCGCGCAAGAAGATCGCCTGTGTCGATACCGAGACTGGCAACCTTGTCAAGCCTGAGAAGCCTAACGGCATCAAGCTGGAGCAGTTCGTCTTCGACGTGTTCCCCATGACACCACTGGAGAAGTTCGCCACCCTTGAGGTGCACCGTCACGATGAGTTCTCACCTTTGAAGAACGCCCGTGGCACTGGTGAGGATGACCCTGATACCAGCCGCGCGGATATCATGGCACAAGGTCAGCGGTGGGTTGAGGCTGCTGGTGGTATTGTTATTACCGATGGCGAAGCCGTTGGTGTTGAAGTTTCTCCTCTAATCAGCTATGTGTGTCTCTTTCTCTATCTCGTCTCTAATCTCTCAACTAACCATTACAGGGCGGTGAAAACTTGGAATTCCTCAAGGGACGGGAAATTAAGGCACCGGCTATCCTGGAGCGGGAAGAGTAGATTAAATGGACTAACCAGTCGGATCTCACGGAGATCTCTTTGGAACGAAGAAATGAATTACATTGTGACACTTTTTAATGGAGAATGGATCTACTAGGAATGTAGGGGGTAAGGAATTCAAAAGTAGAATATATTGTGTATGGCTATATACCTGCTATATACTGTAGGATATTATACAGTAAACGCCTTACGCAATACGGAAAAGCCCGGGAGCTAAAGCCGTTTGACGAGTTTGTCCTCTTTTCCACTTTTCCTCTCTTCTGTGCATTCTCTTAAAAAGAAGTTGGAGCTGTTGAGGTTATTGAAGTTGAGAGAGTGTGAGTATTCTATTTCTCTTGTCTTTTGATTTTGGTTTTTTTTTTTTTTTCTTCTGTGTGGTTCCCCCTCGTTGTCCCACTTTTTTTTCCTCAAGTGGGCTGAACGTCTTTCTCCAAAGGTTCTCAAGCTGACCAAAAGGGTAGATTTTTGACAAGGATTTGAAGAGTTACTGTTGAGGGTGAGTGAAATAGGGTGTGTCGTGTGTTTCGCCGTTTGAGCTCGTGCTTCCCCCCGCCGATCTACGTCTTCCCCTCTTTCGCTTGAAATTTTTGGGATCGCAACTTATGTGACTATGCTGGACTCGGACAACGTCGGATACAATCTACAGAGCTGCATAAGTCCATACAATGCATGCTCCCACAATTCGATAATTCCCATGGATGGGATGACGCGGCTCGTCGACGGAGCTCTACCAAACCATAACCCCAATGTGAGGCTGACTTGCGATGGATATAGATTACCGCCAGAATGATGTTGTCTCGTCGCGCATGCTACAAGTGTGGCACTATTGGTCACTATGCTGGTGAGAAGAGTTGAAGCTTGGTTATATGGGGTCAAACTAATTCCTCAATAGAGGTCTGCTCCTCCACTGAGCGTCTCTGCTACAACTGTGCGTGAATATCTCCCCGAGAGCTCATACTCTTATCTTACTGGATGCTAATTTATCCCATCTCACAGGCAAGCAGCCCGGTATGTTCCATCATGAGTCATATTACTCAAAACAAGCTTCTAAGTTATGATATAGGCCACGAGTCAAGCGCCTGCCCTCTGCCCCGTACCACTGAGAGTAATCGATCCCTCATATCAACTTCCACCATTCCAGCTTGCTAATAATCATTCAGCCAAGCAGTGCTACAACTGCCAGGGTCTCGGCCACGTCCAGGCTGACTGCCCTACCCTGCGCCTGAACGGCGGTGCCAACGGCCGCTGCTACAACTGCAGCCAGCCCGGTCACCTTGCCGTAAGTTCCAACCCCAAATCCCAGGTCTGGTATCTTCGAAGCAGTCATTAACCCCGTCCCAGCGCAATTGCACCAACCCCACTGCTCCCGGAGCTGGTGCTCCCCCTACCGGTCCCGCCGCTGGTCGCGGTGCCGGTGGTGCTCGTGGTGGTTTCCAGGGTGGATTCCGTGGTGGATTTAGCGGCTACCCTCGTGCCGCTACCTGCTACAAGTGTGGTGGTCCCAACCACTTCGCTCGTGACTGCCAGGCTCAGGCCATGAAGTGCTACGCCTGCGGCAAGCTCGGCCACATCTCGCGTGACTGCACCGCGCCCAACGGTGGTCCCCTCAGCTCCGCCGGTAAGGTCTGCTACAAGTGCGCCCAGGCTGGCCACATCTCCCGCGATTGCCCTACCAATGAGGGTGCTGCTGCTCCTGTTGCTGCCGTTGAGGCTGTCCCCGTTGCCGCTGCCCCCGTTGTTGCCGCTGCCCCTGCTGTCGTCACTGTTGAGGCCACCACTGAGGCTACCACTGTCCCTGCTGCGGCTCCTACCACTGCCGTCGCTTGATTGTACTCGGCCCAGTCTCTCCGCCGTGCATCTGCCATTGGAGAAATGCTTGGAGTTCCTTTTCTTCCTTGATTCTGTAATACGGTCACTTTTCCCTAACCCTCTCTCTTCTTCCTTTGCATATATTTAAATCACACCCTCTGTTTTTGGGGACGGGTCTGGTACTGGACCTGAAAAAACAACTTTTGATTTCCCTTATTTCCCCCCCCCCCCCGCTTTTGGAACTTCTTTTTTTTACTTATTTTTTATCCCCCCTATCATGTATACGACGAACAAACAGAAAAAGTTCTTTTTGGTTTTGTTTTTCGCGGAGTCACCCTTGACTTTTTCAAGTCTTATGATTGGCGTCTATTCTCATGGATTATCTTTCTTGGTTTTCGAACGACTCTTGGTTGCAGTTTTCCCGAATGGGGCCAAAGAGGGAACGAGGAGATGAAGTGTGGCAATGAGAGGATCTGTTGAAGAGGGGAATTGGATTCGGGGCCGTTGCAACTGTTGAAAGAAAGAGGACTTCCAGATAGGAAGAGTCCTGAGAACGTTTCGAGCTAAAAAAAAAAGAAATATCTCAATTGTCTTGTTTCTTGTTTCTTGTAGATGTTGTCTACAGCTGTGCTCAGTGCTTAGTAGCTGAACCCGTGACCTTGAATCACCAAGGTCGAGTTTCCCTTCACATCTTTTGTTCACTCTACGTTTTCCCCCATCATCGATCTCCACATACCCATCTTCAATTGATCCTATCAAGATGCCGGGCTCGGTTGGAAGTGATGAATTCGGCGACGATGAGGTATAATGAATCCCCCATATCTGCGCGGCCTTAGAACTGCCAATCTAATTGGAGCAAATATTCTACAATTGCAGGACTTCATTCTGGACATCGATGGTATCCAGGCCCATGGCATTGGCGCAGCCGACATCACCAAGCTGAAGGCCAATGGATTCTACACTATTGCAGTGAGTGCCTTGACCCTAATCACCTACCTCATCTTTGAGCAGATCCCAGGCCCGTGCCATCCCCAACAAACCTAACCACTCATCCAGTCCGTCCATGGTGCAACCCGCAAAACTCTCCTTAAAATCAAGGGATTCAGCGAAATCAAAGTCGAGAAAGTCAAAGAAGCAATTCAAAAATGCCTACCCACAGCCTCGGGTTTCATCACAGCAATGGAACTTCACCACCAGCGCAAGAAAGTCGTCCGTGTCTCAACCGGCAGCAAGCAATTTGACTCAATTCTCAACGGGTGAGTTCAATACCACACATCCTCAAAGCTAAAAACACCAGTCAACCCCATCTAACACCACACCAGCGGCTTCCAGAGCATGAGCATCAGCGAAGTCTTCGGCGAATTCCGCTGCGGCAAAACACAACTTTCGCACACGATGTCTGTAGTCGCCCAACTACCCAAAGAAGCAGGCGGAGCAGCTGGGAGAGTCGCCTATATCGACACAGAAGGCACGTTCCGACCCGAACGCATTGCTCAGATCGCCGAACGGTTTGGAATGGACCCCGACACAGCGCAGGAGAATATTTCCTATGCGCGCGCGCTGAACAGTGAGCACCAGTTCGAGCTGCTGAATACTCTTTCCCAGGCGTTTGTAGGTGGCGAGTATCGGTTGCTTGTTATTGATAGTATTATGAACTGTTTTCGGGTTGATTATTGTGGACGTGGGGAGCTCGCGGATCGGCAGCAGAAGTTGAATCAATTTTTGATGAAGCTGGCGCATATGGCTGAAGGTGAGATTTATAACTCTGCGTTTAATTTCCATAGCTATCTTGGCTGATTTGGTCTGGTTTGCAGAATTCAATGTTTGTGTCTTGATGGTGAGTGCAATCTTATGTGTTTTGAGGTGTTGGGGCTTACACTTCGGTTCAGACAAACCAGGTCCAGAGTGACCCTGGTGCTAGTGCTCTCTTCGCTGGAGCTGATGGTCGAAAGCCAGTTGGTGGTCATGTTCTTGCTCATGCTTCCACTACTCGTGTGCTCCTGCGGAAGGGTCGTGGTGATGAGCGAGTTGCGAAAATACAGGATTCTCCTGGTGAGTACTTGGATATATTACGGGCTTTGTCACTGATCTAACCCGTTTTAAGACTGCGCTGAGCGGGAAGCAATCTATGTCATTACCAATGGCGGGATCAATGACCCTGACAAGGTTTGAAAGTGTGTGGTCGAGACGATGTATCGACGTTGAGGGAAATTCTCTGCAGTCACGATTTTCATGATGTATCAGGTTTTACGCTGCGATGTTTTCATTACCGTTAGTTAGTTTATATCATAAATAATAGGTTAGAATACCAAAGAGTTCAAGATCACGTTCATGTTAATGTAGTCGAAGCCCTAATTAAGAAGTTCACCGCCTACACCGCCGCTCCGACAACCCGGCAAAATTTTGTGCCAAGAGCAAATCTGCAGAAAAAGTTCAGCTCAATCAACGCAACAATCCGGCAATCAAACCTCCATTCAAAATGAAAGGCGAATCCGTGCAGGTAGAAGGGTACACCACCCTACCCGTGCAGCTTCCATCAACCCCTCTCTTCCCCAAACCCGCAACACACTACCTCTACCTCCGACCACACGAGCCCCGAATCCCAGACCCAGATTCCACCCGCTCCCTCTTCATCGTCAATGTCCCAATCGACACCACAGAAGCCCACCTCCGCCACCTCTTCGGTACTCAACTCGCTGCAGGCCGCGTAGAAAGAGTCCAATTCGAAGATGTGCAGACCAAAAAGCGCGCCGCGGCAACAACGACGGAAACCAACCTAACTCAATCTAAAAAGAAGCGCAAGCGCGTAACCGCCGACGATTTCGAACGCCACTTAGACGATATCACGCTCCCATCAACCTGGGACCGCAAACTCCACAAGAGCGGCGGCCACGCAGTCATCATCTTCGCCGACAAGCCTAGCATGGAAACCAGCCTGAAAGCCGCCACCAAGGCCTCCAAGCGCGGTACCACCATCGTCTGGGGCGAGGGCCTGCCTACAGACCGCATTCCTGTCCTCGGACTGAACCGGTACGTCACGCACGAGCGCATGCAGTACCCTGATCGGGGGACGTTGCTGCGGGCGGTGAATGAGTTCATGACTACGTTCACGGAGGTGTCTGAGGCGCGCAAGCGCGAAGATCAGAAACGTCTTGCTGTGCCGGACGAAGATGGATTCATTACTGTTGTGCATGGACCGAAGTTGAATTCTGTGGCAAGGGAGGATGAGATGAGGGAGCTTGTTGAGAAGCAGAAGAAGAAGGGTGTGGGACTCGAAGACTTCTATCGGTTCCAGTCTAGGGAGAAGAGGAAGGAGAGACAGAACCAGTTGCTTAGGCGCTTTGATGAGGATAAGAAGAAGTTGGCGGAGATTAAGGCTCGGAAGGGCAAGATTCGGGTAAGTTTACTCTCTCATTTGTTCGGTTGTTCTTTGAGAATTGGTGCTGACTTTTTACACAGCCTGAGTGATCCGGTGCATGATAGCATGGCGTTCTGGGTGTCTTTTTCGATGGTAGGATAAAAGGTTCGAGGTGTCCTATGTAAATGTGAGTATTTGCTTTCTACTTTTGTTCTTTTTGTTCATATTCGCTCCGAGGACGAACACGCTGGGGCCATAGTAGCAAAACGCGCTTAGCTCGCTGTTATGCCATGACTGCAAACACCAGCTTATCTATATCTTCTCGCCTTCTGACATGGAGATTACATCTTGTCGAGATTTATTGTGCTTCTTGGTTGTCACATATGCTAATTATGGTTTAAAATAGGTTAGATACATACATGTTATCTCAATATCAATAGTTTATGATCTAATTGTATTTATACATGTAGTTCAATTTGTCCGTGTCCTTCATATTCATAGCCCATAGATGCCTCTTCCGGATCTCCCGCACAGACCAACGCTTGGCGTGACATCCCACCTCTGGAGAAACGGTATGTCTTGCTATGGATGGTATTGATAGCTTCGTCAAAGTATAGAACTGGAAAAATATCGGAGGACCAATTGCTACGGTTGGCTGTATCATGTGATACTACTCTCGGCTAAATCGCATTCTCCGAGCACGCCTGAAGCGAAAGCTTCACACGATATATCTTGGAAGAACGACCATCTCTCATTGGACTACGACTCATTTTTGTAGCTTTTTTGCTTCTCTTTTTTATAAAGAACCCACCAAGGCTGAACATCTTGATTATTGGACCCAACACATTATATCTATATCGAAAGAAAGCAAAACAACCCTCAAGATGTCTCCCGCCTCGATCCAAACCGATCAAGACTCCGATTCCGACGCCGATGTCGAGTTCGAAGATGTTCCAATCTCTCTTCCAAACAGGCCCAGAAATAGGGAAGACACGGGAATTCAGATAACCGTTCCCTCAACCCGGCAACCACAATGGAGCCCAACTCTATCGCTTCCGCAACAGCGAAGCCAACCGATCCCCTCGGGCTCGGATGAAGAAATCCAGCTCCGAGGTCAAATCAGCACCGGTATAGAGAGAGTCACGTACCGCAAAATGAAATCCGACATGGGAATGGACGCACCGGATACACCCGTTTCGGAACGCAGGTATGATAGCTTCAAAGAGCTCGCTGCAGAAGTGGAGGGTCTTGTTGATACGCTTTGGGCATCTTCAACACGTGAGTTTTACATTTTATACATTGTAGAAGTGGAGGTTGTATATTGCTATATACGCCGTACTATCTTTGCTATCCTTTCTTTTTCTTTTTTTCTTTATCATTTCCTTACCTGTATATTCTACATTCTAGCTAACTCTATCCAGCGGCAATCCAAACCGAAGCCCTCATAACCCTAGCAGGCCTAATCCAAACCTCTCTCCCAGCCTTCCCCTTCGACGCCCCACCAACCTTAAACATCCTCCACAAGTTCGACTGCGTCTTCGCAGCACTGTGTACGGGCACACACCCACTCACCGGCGCTGTTCTACCCGGCACACAGCTGGGCCAGTCTCTTGCAACGGAGACACAGAAAGTGCGGATCCGGAGTTTGGCGGAGAGGACTAGATTTGAAGTTTTTTCCTGTTTGGCGAAATCCAATGAGAGAGGTGATGCTGCTATTACTAATGGTAATGGATATGAATATGAGGATGAGGATGAGGATGGTGATGAGATCGATGAGCCGTGGATGTTAGAAGCTACTCAAGTTTACGAGAAGAGTCTTATGCTTCTTGCGGAGCAGGATCCCAATGTGGAGGGGATGGATGAGTTTAATTGTTTGTAGTATCATTCCGTGATGAGTTTTACCTATGCGGCTCGAAGTAATGCAAACTATTAAAATGGATATTTTTAGAATGGCAATTACGTCGGTGCAGTATACGCTCAGGCCACACACAAAGTGACATAGTTCGTGAAAGGAAGTCCCACACTCAATTTGCAATACATCTGTAGTAGAATATTATACTGATATAGTACTACCTATGGATCCCAATTATTTTCTAGAAACTTCTAGCTTATATTTAATAGAAAAAAAAGTCTGGACCGAAAAAAAAATAAATAAATAAATAACCAGTGGGGTGCAGGCAAAAAAAAAAAAAAGTGGTTAATATTATTATGCCGACTTGAAGTAATGGAGTATACAGTAAGTGTTCTCGTACGTCGAATTCAGGTATCAATCACAGCCACGGCTGACCCTCTCTTTGGCCAGAGCTGAATGAACTAAGTGGATGTGAGCCCTGAAGGTGGGGGCAATCGGGTCCAGCTAGTGGCCTGGGGCTGCGCAACTCAGAGGCTGTGATGGCCAGTAGGATATTCGAGAGGGTATAATTAGTGTTAAGTGTCTTTGTTTACGGAGTACATTATATGCTTTGACTTGTTTTCCATGTGAAAGTAAAGTACAACATAAGTAGTTAGTCTATTCATATATGATATTTCCGAGTTTAATTCCATGCTTGTGAAATATCTATAGATATACGGTTATAGCAGTCCACATAGGTTAATTTAGGGCTACACCTTAACAAAGTACATTCTGCCGTATCTCAATATGCAAGGGTTAGATTAGCTTATTTTTCATCGAGCAGAGGGGTTAGATCTGAAACCTAACATCCCACTATCCCTTGCACATACCCCTTTCCATATAATTTATTATATACTATAGAAATATCACAATATGTTTTGAATAAAAAACGCGTCGCGTACCATGTAAAGTGAAATAAGCTGAACAGGATGAAAATCTCTGCTGGGTAAAGTAGTAATTCTAATACGAGCGGCCCCCCAAATCCGGCCAATAAGAATTGAACTCCGCATGAGAAGCCTTCCATGGTTCTGAGCTTTTTTTTTTTCTTTCACTTTCGCTTTGAGGTATTCATGACCGGACGTGCGCGGCTGACGTATTTTGGAATACGAAGGGGTTTTTAAGAAGTCCTTGCTTATGAATTAGGGTAATTCGGGTAGATGAGAGAACCTTGCTTCGGAGAAGAGCTCTCTACATAGTAGTATGCTGTATACTCTCTACCAGTTTTCACTCGGGTATCAGACCTTTTGAAATATAACCGTATGAGGCTGTTCCATGGTTCTGTGGCTGTTAAGCCCTGTTTTAATTGCTTATATAATATTAAAGTCATTCATCCAGGTTAGTGTATACATACATATGTACTTCTCAATAGATTTAGTTTCATATATAATGTGAGATATCAGATGAATACCCAACAGGTACCTAATGCTGCGCCTACTTAGGCGAACAGATTACCTCAGCATATGACGATGCCCAGGTGAACCCCCGGGGGGCCCACGGGACCTGACAAGTCACATTGCGAGGATAGCCACAGGTCCTTGCAGATTTCATGCATTGGGGCTTCCTGCCCCTTGTTCTGTCTTTTACCGAATGTGTTTGAATGTGTTTGAATTTGTTTTTATTCAAATTTTTATTCTACATATTTGCTATCTGATCTTACAGGCGGAGAGGCTGACTTTCAAAAGGCCCAGGTCGGCAAAGAACTTTGATGTAGACCTCGGGTCATAAGCTATGATGTATCAACTTCAATTATCCCGGCTTCCCGGGATCCTGGAACTATGAAGAATCAAGCCCCCCCGCATGATATCAATCATGCAGTGTTGACAGGAGTCTGGGGACCGAGATAGTATAAGTAATATCTAAGTTTATATGGCGTTTGTACCTGCTTGGAAGTCCTGATCAGCATTAGGCAAGGCACTTGGTATACTACTAGTAGATGTTATACATACAACATACTACTATTATATATAAAAGAAAAATTTATCTCCAACATCTTGGAACGGAACATACCATACGAGGTAATACACATACCATACATAGACTCACGTAATGCGTTTCCCACTTCCCCTCTCTCTTCATCTCGCGAGATTTCCAATTCTTCATTTTCTTCTTTTCCCCCTCCTACCTTCCCCTCCCTTTTCTTATTGTTCGAAGATCTTTTCAATTTTCTGTTTAGTTATCGGGAGTTCTGCTTTTCCTCCCTTGTTGCCGATTACTCTTTTTTTGCCTCGCGCATTTCCAGTGTTTTCCCAGGTTTTCCTCTAGGTGAGTTTGTCTTTCTAAGCCTCTTTCATCACTCGAACCCAAAATGCCTCCCCATATACATATCAAACTCGGCGCAGCGCAGCGCAAACTAGCTTTGCAGGATACTTGATTTTGAATATGGTGATTCACCCATATTTCAAACGCCTTCGCCTTGACCAGCGCTTCGGGACAGCCGATTATCTACCGGTCGCACGCATCCCAACCTCAAAAATCATCGCCAATATGAGGAACCAGTCGGATCTAGATACTTGAAGTGCCCGAAAATTGCGCTAGATTGAGAGGGTGGACGGTCGCATTCAGCCCTAAAACCGGAACGACGGAAACGGTCGAAGCATGATGATCGCCTAGCATCCGAGTGGAAACAAGTCTATTTTCGTCTTGCGCATCCAATTCTTGCCATTTGATTGTTCGTCTTCGGCCAATCCACCCTCCAATCTACCATCTGGAGTTGATATACTGCCCGAAACACTGGTCTTGGCGATTTTATGGTACCACTTTTTGTGGCTCTGAATCATATATATGCATGCGCCTGAAGAAACCACCTGCAAAATGCTGACTATCCGGCTTTCTTTTACCGCGCCGCATCGTTTTTTTTTCGACTTGTATTGACTGTTTTGCCTGCGTTGCACCTCTCACTTCATTTTCTTTGCTTGCGCATGTCCAGACCTTCTTTCTTCATTCCAAGTGAAAATTGATTTAAGCTAACTTCATATTTTGAGCAGCCTTTAACGCCCGTCTCTTTGCTTGGCTTCGTTACGACTTGATCTTACGCCGGTCTTTCTTTAACGACTCCACGAAGTTCTAGTCGCTCAGCCATCTTATATTCTTACGTCGACTTTCCGGACTTTGATTCTTGCAACCATGTCTTACAACAACGGCTACGAAAACTTCCCTCAGCAGGACCCCGCCGCCGCTGGCGCACCGGCTCCCGTTGACACCAACATGACCGGCCAGGTTGACCCCTCCGCCGCTCAGTTCCAGGGCCCTCCTTCCGGTGAGCCCAACTCGGCTCCTGTTCCCCAGCAGGGCGCCGATGGCAAGACCACCCTCTGGATGGGTGAGCTCGAGCCCTGGATTGATGAGAACTTCATCCGCAACCTGTGGTTCCAGATGGGTGAGCAGGTCAACGTCAAGATGATCCGTGACAAGTTCTCTGGGTAAGACACCATAACTGGCTTTTGAATTTCAAAGAATTGTTTCTAATGTGGGTAGTAGGAGCAATGCTGGATACTGCTTCGTCGACTTCGCTTCCCCTGCCGCCGCTGCCAAGGCCCTTTCTCTGAACGGCACCCCCATGCCCAACACCAACCGGGTCTTCAAGCTCAACTGGGCTACCGGCGGCGGTCTCGCTGATCGCAGGTAAGCGAAACATCTTATTCATTGGTTTCCTCCTGTCCCTGTAACTAACCCTATTGCAGCCGTGATGACCGTGGCCCCGAGTACTCCATCTTCGTTGGCGACCTCGGCCCCGAGGTGAACGAATACGTCCTCGTTTCCCTCTTCCAGAGCCGCTTCCCCTCCTGCAAGTCTGCCAAGATCATGACTGATCCTATCAGCGGCATGTCTCGCGGCTACGGTTTCGTCCGCTTCTCCGATGAGAACGACCAGCAGCGCGCTCTCACCGAGATGCAGGGTGTCTACTGTGGCAACCGTCCTATGCGTATCTCCACCGCTACCCCCAAGAACAAGGGTCCCGGTGTTGGTGGCAACGGTGGTGCTGCCATGGGTATGCCCGGTCCCGCTGGCATGTACCCTCCCATGGGTGGCCCTCCTATGCCCTTCTACGGTGCTCCCCAGCCCATGAACCAGTTCACAGACCCCAACAACACCACTGTCTTCGTCGGTGGTCTGTCCGGCTACGTCACCGAGGATGAGCTCCGCTCTTTCTTCCAGGGCTTCGGAGAAATCACCTACGTCAAGATTCCCCCTGGAAAGGGCTGTGGTTTCGTCCAGTTCGTCCAGCGCCACGCCGCTGAGATGGCCATCAACCAGATGCAGGGCTACCCCATTGGAAACTCCCGCGTGCGTCTGAGCTGGGGCCGCTCCCAGAACAACTCCGGCCCTGCCGGCAGCCCTTACCGCCCTGCTCCCCCGCCGCCTCCCATGTACCCCTCCATGGGCATGCCCCCGGCCCACCAGTATGGTGGCTTTGCCCCCATGAAGGTGAGCGATCACCCTGGCAGCCCGATCCCGGATCAAATGTGAAGCAGGTGGTCGGCTGACACACTCTTCCAGTAAGCGTTTCCCTTTGATTGAAAGCACCAGCAGGAGTTATTTGTGTCATTTCCAATGATGATTCTATTGTGTCATAACAAATTCGTTCCCTGGTTTTCTGGCCAAGGCTATAGCTCTTGATGAGCATTTGTCTCCTGTGCTACGCATTTCCTTTTTACGTGAGCGCTATTACCTTAGCAAGATCTGAGCTTTCTCCCCTTTCTGGTCTGTCTTGTTCTTATGTATCTTTCCCTTTTTTTACCCCCCTCCGTTTCCTCTCCCCCTTTGCGTCCGTATTCTATCTTTTTTTTCGTTATCCTATTTTCGATGTCTCTCTGCCCTTCTGTTATTAGGGTTTTCCCCCGCAACTGGGTCTTTGTCTGCGTGTAATGGAAGTCCGAATTGTCATGCGCTTCTTTTTCCCTTATACTCCTTGGGCAGGCATTCTGCGAAAAGTTCCATTTCCCCCCACGTTACCACCTTATTTCCTTTGTCCCTTTTTTTTCTCTTTTCTTCAAGCAGCTAAATTGAATTATGTTCGCTTTGAGAATTTTTGCGTGCTTTTTTCTACCCTTTTTCCTCTGTTAAGACTGATTTGCCGGCTTGTACAACACGCTCTGTTTCGTGCGCCTTAGCGTTTGTCGATTCTAAATTCCCTTTGATCGTATGCTATAATGTCCTGTACGCTCGTTTGGTGTTTGCATCGCACTACTGCCGTCAAGCTCTCTATCTTCCTGGTATTGTATTGTCGGCCCTTTGCTTCTGGATCTTCTACCTATATAAACATCGCTTCTATGGCTGGCCCCATAGATGGAGGTTTCGATGGACTTGAGCATATCTGGTCGCTCTGGTAGTTGTCCCCTGGGTTGGTTGTCTTGCTGTATTACTGTCTGCTATCGTGATATCTTCAGAGGTATTCTGCTGGGGTTAGGGCTGGAATTTGAACTTGACCTGATTCTTGAGACAATTCTTCTAGATTGTTTTATTGTGTTCATTGTAGATCAAGTGCTGTTCTTTAGGGCTAATATGGACAAGTGACATCTACAATAGTCTATCAGTCTATACCGCCTAACCTAATCGGTGATACTGTTTTGGGCAACAGCGATGCATGTCCGAGGTTACTTCCATGATTGTCTATACCCAAACAATTTCGACATGAGCACTTCATTCATCCTCTCTATACCTATCCCCACAGCATCATGCGGTACAGGAACTGGGATGTCCTTCTTTTCCCCGGAGGTTCGAAGGTTCCTATCCAAGAGTTCAAAACACAATGCTTTGTGACTAAGGATAAAGACTCACCCTACCTACACAATGCGGTCTTTCTTGGCCCTCATGCACACCTTCCTGAGCAAGGAGTCTTCAATCAGCTTCCAGTCCTCACAACGTTTATCCCGAGTTTGCCCAAGGATAGTCCGTTCCAAGTCTCGGTTCATAGTTGGGAAAAACCACGCCCCAGTGTCCAGATCGAGTCCAATATGGAACCAGAGGACATTTTGCTCTTCGAGGTGCGGCTCTTCATTGATGGGGTCTTTGTTGCGTGAGTAAACTTAAGCTCTGCGGTATGCGCTCCGATGCTTGGACTGTGCTGATGATGTCGTGCAGGGGCAGCCTCTATGGACAGAGAACTATTTGGCCACAGATTATGGGTACGTCGTGCGCGCTCACATGGGCATCATATCCTTCCACAATTCTCTTTCTTACCCCCTTGCCCTATTCATTGTTGAATTGGAACTGACACTCATTTGGCAGATCTGAGTTCCAGTATGACCTTTTTTCTTTATCGTTGATTCGAGATTCTCATAGTCCAAGCAGGTCTTGACCGAGATGGAAACCAAGACGCCCTTCGATTCCCTCCCTTTCATTCTGAGATACTACAGCAGAAGCATTGGGATGCCGGTGATTCTCAAGGTAGAATCAAGATTGTCATTGCAGAAGGGTTCTCTCGCCCCAATCGCACGCCCCCCTTCGAGCGCTACAAGCATGTCATTGTTTTCTCCTTCCAACATGCGCCACTAGATGTGCTGGAATTCTCCGACATTGCTTGGCCAAATCCCAAAATGTGGCTTGCTATGCCCAATGGATCCCGGTACGGACAGGCAGCACGATACGGCACCTCCAAGGTAGCTGGCGATGGCGCTCATGGGCATTCACCAAGCAGACCCGACAGACCCGAACATCGAATTACAATCACGGCTAACACAAGTAGCCAATCCAGCAGCAATGCAGCTACTTACAGCGGCAGTACCCCATCAACTTACAATGCCTGGACCCCACACCGTGGGTTTCCCATCCCTTCCACACAGTGGAACGGCTATCCACAAGAGCCTCGATGGGAGCCACAGGATACATACATCGTGGAACCTGGTATGGATGCCTTCATTGATGATACAGCATGGCGGCAGCGAGGTGCTCGATCCTCTCGCGAGGACGTCCCAATGCCAGACTATGTTTCTACAGGATCAACCAGCAGCCGGGCCATCTCGAGTGTGACCGGGATGAGCTATGAACACAGCAAGCAGCCCAGCATTAATTCCTGTCTTGACGATGAACAATACAACGAACTGATCCAAGCTTTGACTCCAACGAAGGTGCCTCCTGTGGGAACTCGCGCACCCTCTAATACTCCCTCCACTGCGATGTCTGCCCCAAAGCCTTCTGCAGCAGCCGAAGCTCGTTCTGCAAGCTACAAGTCTCGGAATCGCCGTTCTTCCGCACTCAGGGAGATATCACAACCAAGCACCCGCGATGTTTCAGGATCGAGTGAGCCCAGGGACTTGACTCCATCCAAGGTTGGGGCGAGCCCAAGCGAAAGAGTCCGGAGCAAAAAGGAGAATCAGAAAGAGGCCAACCAGGAGACCCCCAAAGCGAAGTCTAAGGGCAAAGACACCGCGAAGGTGAACCGTAGCTCCAAGGATGTCGACAATGCGGACGAGAATGAGTCGATATTGTAGGATCGAACCGGTGATCATGCTTTTCAACTTATACTTACCCCCCATTCACTTTGTTTAGTTTAGTCTTGACATGAAGCCGGCATGTATCTTTTATGTGAGCTTCAGTCAATACAGTTTTTACTTTTTACTCTCTGAGGTCAACAAACTAGACTTGTAGAGTGGACAACTTACAGTTTTTGGAGCTTACCTTTTCCTCAGTAAAGCTGAGGAAAAATAGAATGTTTCCTTTTTTTTTTCTATACAATCTACCTAGAAAATCGAGAGTAGGAGACATGCAAAAAAACACAGCAATAATCTATTCTTGTAAGATAATAAAAGCATTGTACAATATTGTGCTCATGTTGAAATATTTGTAGATCGGGAATACTTTGAACTGATTCAACACAACTATAGAATACATCTACGAAAGGTTCAAAGAATGATTCAAGAGACAGGATAAATGTCTTGCACATTTCAAGTATCCGCCTCATGAGCGAGATTCGAAGTGCAATGAATCAAGCTTTTGGGAATGCCCTCAGAGTTCTCTTCATGGGACAATATAGAGGATCACCAGAGAGCTGTCTCTGGTGAAAAAGTTCCAAAAATTTGGAGTTTGATAGCGCGTAGGCTACCCAAGGATGCGAAAAGGACCCATGCTTGTCCTCAGAATTTCTCCTCATCGGACTACCGTATATCCTCCCCCTGTATGCCATCGGACGACCGTATATCCTCCCCCTGTCTGCCATCGGAGTCCTCCTCCCCTGGGACGAGGCCACGCCGGGTCTCAGATAACCCATCCTTCACCTCCCCAAAGACGTGATACGCTTGCGCGCAGTCAGACTTCAAGTAAGCCCTCAGAATAATCTTCACTGGGCATCCCGCTCCGTTGGGCACCCCACTCCACTGGGACGAGGCCACTTGGTCTCAGATAACCCATCATCCACTTCCCCAAAGACGTGATACGCTTGCGCGCAGTCAGACGTCAAGTAAGCCCTCAGAATACTCTTCACTGGGCACGCGCTAAGCTGAGACGAGGCCACAGTGGGTCTCAGATAACCCAGACTTTGACGTGATACGCTTGCACGCAGTCAGACGTCAAATAATGCCCTCAGAATGATCTTCACTGGGCAGGATTGGTTGACGGATGTAACTGTGAAAGCAATATCAGCCATATGCCAGCGAGGTCATGGTCACACAGGGCTTACCGATAATTCTTTGGGTGATACCAATAGACCCGTCAGAGCATGTAAAATCGGCGGTGGAATATGTGATTAGTGGGAATTCCCAAGGCAGGAATCTCACAGTAAACATGTGTCTATGGGTGCTGTCTCCAACCAAAGAGATGACCGTAACTAGTGAAACAAAAAGTGTTAGCCAGTTGTCATCTCATGTACACAAGGAACGTACCGTAGATATACCAGATGCACAATAGACTAATGTCTCATATAAGCCGTGGCATGTTGTCACATTGGTAATGAAATAGACAAAGAAGAGACTAACAAAGCGTGTCCTCTATAGGACGGAGGATGGAGGATGAATAGATGGAGGATAGTGGGAGATGGGAGATGGGAGATGGGAGATGGGAGATGGGAGATGGGAGATGGTGAGAGAGGAGGGATGGATGAAGGATGGATGGGGGATGGTGAGAGAGGAGGGATGGATAAAGAATGGATGAAGGATGATGGGGGATGGGGGATGGGGTATGGGAGAGAGAGAGGGAGGGAGGAAGAGATGGTGTGAGAGAGGGTGAGAAGAGGAAAGAGAAAGGAGGATGGAAGATGGAGGATGAAGGGTGGAGGAAGGAAGATAAATGTGGAGGGGGTGAAGGAGGAGAAAAAAGAAAGAGAAGTAAAAAGGAAGGTATTTATATTTGCTGGAATAATGACCCCCTTCCTAATTAGGAAAAGTAGTATAATGACCGACTCCCAATTCAGACAGGCACCTGAGACACCTGTATAAATGACATCAGACTTGAAGGTAAGTCAGTTCGACAGGTCTACACAACTAGAATCTGGAAACAGAAAACTGTCCATAGATAAATTCAGTTCCATATTTTGAGATCAGGAAAATAACATGAAACGCATAACCATAACGACATCGAAACTCCTGGAATCTGTTAGGGGAATATCCAAATCCAATATCCAATCCCATCAACCAACACCAACATCCAAGAGTCACGAACCTCCTTTGCGTTGGTTCCTTTTTGTGCCAGTCCCGTTTCCCTTCGCATCACCCTGGTGTCCGATTTCAGCGATGACACGATCTGATCGGGAGGTATCTGGGTCTGATCCGAGAGTACAGGCAAAATGTAGACAGAAAAAAAAAGGGGGGAAGAGAAAAGAGAAACCCACAGGCCATACAGCCTGGTTGATAGAAGTGAGAGGTGGAAGAATCCAATGCCAGTGATACTGGTAACAAAAGAAAAGAAGAAGAAAAGAAACGGCCGGCATTTGTTGGAAGGTTGTTGAAGATGGATCAAAAGAGAGAAGATGGACCAAAAAAAAGGAAATCGTTGGAAATGAAAGGATGAAAGTGCACTGGATCAGCCATAGGGAACTGGACTTCATACTGAGAGTATTGACGTTGCCCGTACAGACAAGGCAAAGCAAGGAATTAAGTAACCACATCCACAAGTAATAATAGTAATAATAGAAAGAAAGGAAGAGAAGCCAAGAAAACTCGTAGGTCACAGTGCACTAATCTCGAATACAGAAGCGCCGTCCAAGCAGTCCCTGGTATCAGTTGGAGGATGCTGGCTTCCTAGGAGCAAGGGGAGAGGATGCGATGAACAAGGTACACCAACGCCAATCTCACAGCACACGCGCAGAACACACATATCCAGGTAATTGGGAGACAAGAAGAAAACAGAACAGTTCGAGTATCCGCGAAAACGCACTAGAGCAATGATCAAATGTACAAACAAGGGTATATCGGAGGTGAAGCACCTGAAGGACCGTCAAGACTTTTACACGTTCATAGGGTGTCACCGGCACCTGTCTCAACACCATCGGCCGAATAGGATATGCTGGGATCGAACCCAAATCCAGTGGCGTCGGCATCAGTGTTGAGGAATGTGTCAAAGTCGAAGTTCTCCAGAATGTCTGGATTTTCCAGTGCGCTGAAGTCAAGGTTGAATGCGGAAGCCTTTAAAAAGAGTCAGTACAAGCATATTCGAAAGAGACGGGGAAGAACGTACATCAGGAATGCTGAGGTCAGTGAAGGATTGCTGTTGGTCAGGGGGCGGCTGCACCATGGTCTGGGGAGCAGGTGCCGAGGTAGGCTGTGCCGGTTGAGCTGGCCCGTTCGCTCCATTAACTCCATTCTTGTTATTAAAAGAGTTAGGATGCTGGGGGGTGACGGGAGTCGATGGGGTCGGCGGCTCTGCGCCTTCGGTGGACGCGGTCACGCCTGCAGCCGCACTGGCAGCTGCAGCTGCAGCTTGCTTCTTGTTGGGTCGCTTGAATTCAAGTTAGCGGATACGAACATTACAGCAGCATTTAACGAGAGTATACAGACCTTGCGGGCGTCCTTAGTGTCCTTCTTCCCCTTTGGGGCAGCCTTGGTAGCCTGTTGGGGCGTTGGTGGCGCATTGCCAGCCGTTTGAGGTGACGCCGGCTGACCACGACCAGCGGGACCCGTGACGGGTGGAGCCGAGGGCGGAGGCATCGCGCTTCGTTCCTGTGGGGTTCCAGCCTGAGGCTGGTTTGCAGGCGAATGCTGCGGAGGCATCTGCGGTTGCCCTTGCTGCCATTGTCCGCTAGGCATACGCTGGCCGGCATTGGCCGGAATCGGCTGACCCATTTGAGCTCCAGTGAATGCAGGATTAGAGCTAGGAGGTCGCATATTGGGTCCATTAAAGTACTGAGCCGCCATCTCTGGTGGTATCGCACCACCGTTGAGGTTCATGGATCCGGGTGATCCGCGCTGGGACATGTCGCCGGCGCTTGGCGACCCGGGAAGTCCAGTCGGAGGCATCTTAGGCGTACCTCGTTTCATTTGGTCGCTAGGATTGGGAGACGCACCCGCCCTGCTGCCCGGGGAAGTGCCTGGGGGCAAAGCTCCCTGGCCGGGCATTGGGGGCTGGCCGTCAGCACGGGCCATGCTATCCTGCTCTTGACGAGCCATCATCAAGCGCCGCTTATTCTGCTGTTCAAGCAGCATAAGCTGCATCTGATAATCTTGGAGAGCATGGTTACCCTGCTGACTGCCAGGTGCCTGTAAACTACCGGGTCGGACCTGGGCGAGTTGACTGTTCCCACTGTAGTACTCAGGACCACCGCCGGCCATGGGATACATGCCTTGGCCATCCGGCATCGGCACCAGATCCGCCTGATTCGTCATAACACCGGGATTCATCATGCCACCATTTGGGATACCCTGGGAATTCGATGCTGAGCGAGAGTGATGAAGGGCCAAGTTTTGAGCATATACCTGCATAGATTTCTGTTGCTGTTGCGCAGCTTGTCCCTGGAACTGTTGGAATTGCGCCGGAGTCATTCCCCTCTGTATTCCATTTTGCATCATCATAGCCTGGTTAGGCTGTCCAGGCATTCCTTGTCCCTGTACACGGCCATTCGGTGCCAGCTGCTGTCCGTTGACAGCGCCTTCAAGGCGTGGGCGTTTCGACGGCGAGGGGGCGTTGTCGGCAGACGCTGGTGACTGTGGTCGATGTCCACCCATCTCCATGTCTGGATCCCGTTGCATTTGCTGCACCATTTGCATATGCTGGGCCTTTTGGTACTGCGCCATCTGTTGCTGTTGTTGTTGGGAGCTAAAAAAAAAACCTCATCAGCGCGTCCACCCCCAACTTAACAGTCCGCATGGGGAAGATATTCAGATAGAGCATACAGTCCAGGGGTGTTGTTCTGCAGCACTGTTTTCTGCAGGTTAGGAGGCACCATGCCACCATTCTGTCTCCGGATCTGGTTCATCTGGCCAGGCATCATGGGCTGCTGCCTCATAAATTGATTGTGTTGCTGTTCTCGCAGACGCATAAAGTTCTAGAGTTCAAGATTAGTCCA